AGCATTAAATTTGCCGGTACACATTTATACACCAGGGCGGAGAGAGGCACTGTGAGAGTAAAGTGTCTTGCCCAAGAACACAAAACAATGTCCCCGGCCAGGGCTCAAACCCAGACTGCTCAATCTGGAGATGAGCGCATTAACCATGAGGCCATCGCACCTCCCATGAGCTGTGTTAGATTATGGAATAGTTTTTAATTATTAGATTGCACTAAAAGTTCAATTTTTCAGTCACTGTTCATCCAAAGCTAAAAGGTTTAACCTTGGAGGACATATGGTAGCAAAGATTATTTATTCATTGTTATGAATTATTTACTTCAAGCATACACACCTCACTAAGCTTGTTATATGTAAGGTCCCCAACAAGGAGAGTGTCTGTTGTGTATGCCACAAGAAATCTGTCCTTACCCATGATGCTCACTTTATCAATCTATGATACAGAAAAAATTATGTAACAATTACAGCTGGAGACTTAATACTAGTTTAGTATACTCTGTCTTTTGGACATCGTAATCAACAACTGTTGCTTAAGACCTTCCTCACCCTTCCTCTTACAGACTTCATCCTATTCATTGTCAAACAAATTACTGTACTCAAAGAACTGTACAAACTGCACCCTGCTGTTGTCCAAGGTTGACTGTACTACACTCGGAGGGGGTGCTACAAATGATTAGTAACAACATTAGCTAATAAACCCATTAGTACAATCTTACGGCTTTTTAGCTTTTTACCAACACTTGCATGTGTTGTAGAGATGTTTACGTGACTAGGCTTGTGTGTGATAATATTTGAAGCAGTCTGGTTCCTCTTTTGTCTTAAATCATCAAGTGAGAAAAAAAAAGGAAAACAAAAAATGGCCTGCACAAACACTAGTTGGCAAGACATACTATTTTTAGTGTTTGTGTGGCTTTTGCTTTTTCTTTCCCTCAATTATTTTTAGTTTCTTCTCACTCAGTGAACTTGCAGAAAAGAGGAAGGAGTGCTCATAGTTTAGGGAGTGTGTAATAACAAAATCTGACGTTTTACTATTTACAATTTTTTCAGAGACAGTTTTTTATTGAGGAACTGAGACTAAGTTGTCAAATTCTTGATATTGAGATTTAAGTAAAATTTGCTCAGACACTTCACTTTACACGATCCATTCTGCACACAATTTGCAAATCTAAATTAGAGAAAGAATGAGTACCTCATATCCATAATGTGATTTGAGAACAACACGGGTGCCTGATGACAAGTTCTTTACAATGACCTGCAA